GCACATGAAGCTGCTTTATGTTGGGCCTTTTGTCTATTAAAGTCAGCATTGTCTGCTCTGGCCGGCAGCAGCTCTCCAGGGTCCCAGGCTGAGGTCATTCCCATCAGTAACTACCTGATTCTTTTAACAGGAGATGCTGGAGATCGTAACCCAGGACCTACGCCATGCAAATACAGTGCTTTGCACTGGGGAGGAGTCTGCAGGTCAGTGGGAAAGCATCTGTGTTGAATGCAGAAGGTCCCAGGATCAACCCTCAATGCCTCCACTAAAGGAGATAGATCAAGATGGATAGCTGTGTTAGTCCATCTGCAGAGTAGAAAACAGTAGAAGAAGAATACAAAAAGAAGAATGGAAGAAGAAGAAGAATGGAAGAAGAAGAAGAAGAATGGAATAATAATAATAACAATAATAATATACTTTATTGTCATTGTACATAGTACGACGAAATTAAAGATGCAATCATTTTGGTGATCTACAACCATACTCATATACACTCACACAACCATTCACAACCATCCCATAACTCCCTTAAGGTTCACATTGCAACTTAAATGGAAGAAGAAGAAGAAGAACGGAAGAAGAAGAAGAAGAACGGAAGAAGACAACCATTCACAACCATCCCATAACTCCCTTAAGGTTCACATTGCAACTTAAATGGAAGAAGAAGAAGAAGAATGGGAATACAAAAAGAAGAATAGAAGAAGAAGAAGAATGGAAGAAGAAGAAGAAGAATGGAAGAACCTGAAGTAATGAGCAGTGACTCACGAAAGCTCATATCTTACCACAAATTTTTGTTAGTCTTTAAGGTGCTACTGGACTCTTGCTCTTTCCCATTAAAGAACTTTGCATAGCTGGCTTTGGTAAAGACCTTTCTCTTCACAAGGCCCTGGACAACATCGGTCAGTCCGTACACCAATGGTCTGACTCTGCACAAGAGCAGCGTTACATACGCACTTAGCACGATAACCATTGTGGTACAGCGGTGAAAGTGCTGGACTAGGAACTGGGGAAGCCAGGTTCAAATCCCTACTTTGCTATTGAAGCTCACTAGGGGGCCTTGGGCCAGTCACATGCTCGCCACAATCCACCTCACAGGGTTGTTGTGAAGATAAAATGGAGGAGAGGAGAATGATGCAAGCTGCTTTGGGGTCCCCCATTCGGGAGAAAAGGCAGGGTACAAATGAAGTAAGTAATAAAATGAACTGGTTGATCCCTCACCTAGGATCTTCTGTTCATTCGCAGAACAGCATTCCCAAATGCGCATCAATATCTCTTAACCTCTCAGGCTTCCCACACTGTCACTGCTCCATCCTTCACACCCTGGAGAGTGAGAGTCAGGTGCTACGTTTCTTAGCAGCCCATGTGCCAGGGAAGGGAGTTAAACAGGGCAGCAGAGGCGATGTCATGCCCAGTACTGGGATCTTCATTACCACGGTGTAATAATGGCTCATTATTAAAAAGCGCCCCAAGACTTCCGTTCGTTTTGGCTGCAACAAACTCAACACACATCTACCCCTCTGGTATCGGCACTAAGAGGTAACTAATCAACAGCCAGGCCGAGAGTGCGGCTGGCATAACAACAAAAGGAATCCTCTGCCTTTTTCCCTTGCAACTGAAAACGATTTTGAAGGAAATATCATCTGCAGAGCCCTGACTTGGATAGCTCAGGTGAGCCTGATCTCATCATATCCAGGCAGCTAAGCAGGGTCCGTCCTGGCTAGTCTTTGGAGAGGAGGCCGGCAAGGAAGTCCAGGGTTGCAGCGCAGAGGAAGGCGATGGCCAACCACCTCTGTTTCTCTGCCCTGACCCGGACGGCCCGGGCTAGCTCAACCTTCTCAGATCCTGGGAGCCGAGGAGGGTCGGCCCAGGCTAGTATTTGGATGGGTTGTGACATGGAGCCAAGCAATGACAAACTACCCCCTATTCTCAGCAGAGTCTTTACTGAGCCAGTTTGGTGTAGTGGTTAAGTGCGTGGACTCTAATCTGGGAGAACCAGGTTTGATTCCCCACTCCTCCACTTGCACCTGGCTGGATGACCTTGGGCAAGCCGTAGCTCTAATAAGAGCTGTCCTTAAAAAAGAGCAGTTTCTGTCAGAGCTCTCTCAGTCCCACCTCGCTCACAGGGTGTCTGTTGTGGGGAGGGGAAGGGAAAGGAGTTTGTAAGCCACTCTGAGACTCCTTTGGGTAGTGAAGGGGGGGGTATAAATCCAATCTCCTCCTCTTCTACTGCAGGAGTGAGTTTGTGTGGCTATTCATTTTTTTACTAGAATCTCTGCAGTCTACCAATTTGTTTTACATTTCCAAAGCAAGCATGGAATAGTCAACGTTTGATAAACACTATTTAAGAGCAAATATGTGAGTTAACTTCCGTAAGAAGCACAGTAAAATAGACCTATTCCGGCGTTCTTTGCTGGAATCCCAGCATCAGAGAGGCGTGTATCAGTATCCAGCATACGAATACACCGCAATTAACATTCTTCTTCCCAACCCTGCCTTACTGCACCAGGCGACCCAGAATAATTAGTGACAGCATTCACCAAGCCACAATCCGAAACTTTGCACAGTAACACACACAAGACCACCTTGCATTTCATTTCCCCGAAGTCTGATCCAACGGCGCATCTGTTTTAGGATCCGTCAATGGCTCAAGACACAGCTTCTTGCCATGTGAAAATTCTGAACACTGTGCCATTCTGCTGGTAATTCAGTGGGCTCTGCCTCTAACAAATGATGCTACAATTATCGCAGAAAACGAAGTATCGGTATGGACACTTTGCGGACAGCAACCTGGCGAACAAGGAAGCAGGGAAGACATTTTTTCACTTGGGGCGTGCAGGTAAAGCAACTGAGGCTAAAGACGGCTTTGGAAGCAAGACGCTTTCCAGGCTGTGTCAGGATCTTAATCTAGACGCCCCCCACTCCGATCATATGCACCAGAGCTGATAAGCATGCAAACATCTAATTAAATCCCTTTGACCGTATTAAGGTATGCAGCGCACTGGGAGGGCATTGCTTCTGCATTCGCCTAACATACTTATGGAGACCTTATGGAGAAAGAACAGAAGGGACAGCCTACTGAACAATCAGTTTCATACAAAGTGTTTCATCAGGCACCTCTGGGGGGGGGGGAGGAAATAATCCCCATCCATTTTGAGGACTCAAACATCGAGGAGAAAACGTTCAGAACATCAGCCGCCATTGCTGCATGAGCATCGCATGTCTTCTACGGGGAGCGGAAGGAAATCAAGACTAGAACAGCCGCCATTCTGCGCCAACAAAGCTACACGCCGTTGGGGGGGGGACACACACCAAGTGATCCGTTGCGACCCAGGGGAACTGAGGAACTCACTGCATGTCTAGATCTGCACACGCAAAATGGAGGTAATGCAGCCTTATACAAATGGTGTGACCTGCACTACATACCCTGTTTCCCCGAAAATAAGACCTACCCCAAAAATAAGCCCTAGGAGGATTTCTATGCATTTGTGGTATAAGCCCTAGTGTGTCTTCTTGAGAAAAAATAAATATAAGACATTTTCGGGGAAACACGGTAGTTACAGCACATGAAAAAGACACCAATATAAATATAAATAATATAAATTGAATAAATAAATAATATTGCTACACGAAATGGCAATTTTCTATAAAGATAACCAACGCTACATGGCAATCAGCAGACATATTCATTTTGGCAATGCGTCCCCCGATTCAAAAGATTCTGAACAGAAGGGTTGTTTCAGAGGCATCTAGCATCCGATGAAGGGCACTCGTTCCCTGAAAATCCCCGTGGATCTCTAAGGCTTTACTGGAGTCACATCTAGCTGTATAGAAAGGGTGAGTCCAAAATTCACGGGAGACCAGCCCCATGTGCTGCCCACCTCTAGAGAACACACCTCAAAATGGGGTTCTCTCTCTCTCTCACTCCAACAATCAGGTCTAACAGTTTGCCTACAGCCAACACTACCATCTCAGTCCCAACCACCAAGGAGACTAAAAACACAATTGAGGCGATTGAGCAGAGGAAAGAGAAGAATCACTAATAATCGCCCCTTCTGTTTTTTAAGGGACAAAGCGCCACAGATGCCAAGCTGAGCGGAAGCACCCCTGCACTTTCCAGTGGGCATTGACAGAGCCACGGCAAAAGCAGTTTGCTATACCACAGCTGTCCTAGGTCACGGCTGGCTGTCCGTCGCCCACTTAAATGCCCCACAAGCTCAGACATGGAACAAAAAAAATGTCTCCGGTCTTAGTAACCAAAGCCATTCTTAGATGGCAGTGGCCCTGGGCAACGGTGTAAGGAGGAAGAACCCCGAAAGAGCAGTTTGGGTGCACTGCTCTCAAAAGGTACAGACGGCTCCCCCCCACCCCAAGCCAAGTCTTTAGGATTAAACCCCCCTTGCAAAGAAAACCACAGAGAACTTCACCCCACCACTCTGAGGCGGCACCTTCACCAGCAAGGAAGCCGGCACCACTGGCCGGATTTGACCACTCCCAAACACCACCGGGGTCCGGTGTGTGTGGATTAAGGCCAGGAAGACCACAACGGTGGGCTTTTGCACAGGGCCAGAGACAGAAAAGTTGAGCATTCCTCCACATGGGGAGGCAGTGGCAGCCACAACCAATGTTCCCTCTAAGCTGTGGAGTCTTCTGAGCAAAAATTCTACTTTGTGAGCTACTTGGCATTAAAGGTGTGAGTGAGCGATTTGGCTGCTGGATAAATTAGTTTGCTCTGGCGCCGTCCTTCCTGCCTGAGCTAAGACAAAAATGTGTGAGCCGGAGGCTAAAAAACTGTGAGCTAGCTCACACTAACTCAGCTTAGAGGGAACACTGGCCCACAACCCACCTCCTCCAGCCAAGGCACCAGACCCCCAAACGCCAAGAGAGGGAGTGTGAGCTGAAGCAAGGTGGGTGCCCCAGAGGTCAGCTCCAGTAACCCAACCGGACAAGCCTGCCTACCTGAGGCCCCCCAGCCCCGACGGCATGCCCCCCCCAGCTCCTACCTCTTCCTCGAGGCTGTTGCTGCTGTGCTCATTCTCCTTGGGCAGGTTGCTCATGGTGGGTGCAAGCAGGGTCCAAAGAGGGCGCAAAGGGGGGGGGGAGCTCGCTCGCGTGCTGGTCCTGGCCTGGGGGGGGGGCAGAACTCGTGCACTCCTTCCTTTCCCCCTCCTTCTCGGGGCAGGCGACGTGGGAGACGTGGGGCAGGTGCCTGGTGCGAGCCGGGGCGGGTGCCTGGGGGGGCGGGGGAGGGGCGGGGG